AATTGGTTTAATGTTTGTAAAGTTATAAGCATTTTTTGTAATTATACTAACTAGAAAATTTTTTTAATTTTTATTTAGCTTTTCAGTAACTTCAAAGAGCAATATAAGCACTTTGATAAAATGAAGTCGACTTTTTGATCCTATGTAAAGTTGTTCAAAAGGTTCGAAAGTATGTGAATATTAATTTTTATTATGATTGGATTAATCGTTATAGAGTTATGAACGTTTTTCATAATTGTATTAACTCACGAAATTTTTTTATTTTTTATTTTATCCGCTCAGTGACTTCAAAGAGCAGTTTAAGCATTTTGGTCAAATGAAATCGACTTTGTTCGCATAAGTAAAGTTGTTCAGCGAGTTCGAAAATATGTGTATATAAATTTTTATTATGATTGGATTAATAGTTATAGAGTTATGAACGTTTTCCATAATTGTATTATCTCACGAATTTTTTTTATCCGTTCAGTGAATTCAAAGAGCAATTTAAGAACTTTGGTCAAAGGATATCGACTTTAGAAGCCTAAGTAAAGTTGTTCAGCAGGTATCGAAATACTCGTATATAAATATTTGTGAAGATTGGTTGGATATTCGTAAAGTTATTTATATTTTTCAAAATTAAATCACTAAAAATAACTCCGCTTTACACATTATAGTATAATTTCACCACTTTAGTCGAATTAAATCGCCTTTTAGTGTCTAAGTAAAATTGTTCAGCAGGTATCGAAAAAATAACTCCGCTTTACACATTACAGTATAATTTCACCACTTTAGTCGAATTAAATCGCCTCTTGGTGTCTCAGTAAAGTTGTTCAGCAGGTATCAAAATACTCGTATATAAATTTTTGTAAAGATTGGTTGGATATTCGTAAAGTTATTTACATTTTTCAAAATCAAATCACTAAAAATAACTCTGCTTTACACATTACAGTATAATTTCATCACTTTAGTCGAATGAAATCGCCTCTCAGTGTCTAAGTAAAGTTGTTCAGCAGGTATTGAAATACTCATATATAAAATTTTGTAAATTTTTGTTAGTTAGTCGTGAAGTTATTTACATTTTCAAAAGCAAATCACTAAAAATACCTCCACTTTATACTTTACAGCATAATTTCACCATTTTAGTCAAATGAAATCGTTAAATGTAATTGAATAAAAATGATGCATGAAAAATGATAATTATTTTATATAAATTATTTTGAAGTGTTACTAATATCAAATGAAAAGTGATTATAAATAGTTTATTTATTAGTTATTTGATATACAAAAAATATTTTTGATAATAGTGATTATATAATTCTATGTCCAGTAACACAAGATGTCCATTGTCCGCTCACTCAAAAATTGAGTCGATACATGATTGGTCTTTTTCATTACACAGACTTAACAACGGTTTTCACTAGTTATAGACAGGTCTGACTGTATTCTTTTTTTTTTAATTAATTAATATTATTACTTACCTCTTTCCTATTTGTAATAGATTTGAGTTTGATTAGTAATAATTTAGGATTGGGTTAATTGGAATTGTTGTAAAACAGTTTGGATGTCAGCCATAGTGCCAGACATCTAAGGTATCTTTTGACCGGTTAAATGCTGGATTCCTTGGCTTGATCAGATCGAAGGTGAGTCCTATTAAGGGAAAAGTTTAGTATTTTTTTTTTAATTAATTAATTAATTTAATTTATTATTACTTACCTCTTTCCTTTTTGTAGGTATTAGATTTCTTGGATCGATCGATCGGAAGCAAATACTATAAAAGGGAAAGGTTAATATTCTTTTTTGTTAATTAATTAATTTAATTAATTAATTATTACTTACCTCTTTCCTTTTTGTAGGTGCTAGATTCTTTGGATCAGAGGTGAAAGTATTGTAACTTAAGTTGCAACTGTTGCAACTAGTTAAAATTTTAAAAATAATTATGGAACCATCTTTAGTTATCGGTAATTTTTGTGATATTAATTGTTCTTTGCTATGTTTCAAATAATAAATATTTATAAAAAAATTTATAGAAGATTAAAGCTTTGCAAGAAGCAAACCTAACACCAATACCAACGACAATAATAATGCTACCAACCCCTATTGAAAAACTAATACAACAATATATTTCTGCTAAGAAGATTTAGGAAGTTTTTCAAATAGACAAAATGATGTATCAAAACATTTTTGTAAGAAGAAATAAATTATAAATATTATATTATTTATGATATTTATTTTTATTTTTTTATTTTTTAAAGTCAGAGGTTCGTTTTTGTATGTTATTCTTGAAAGTTGATTTTAAGATCAGCTACAAAAACCAAGAAATTATCCTTTTATCAAAGGTAATAGAGAAGATAGCAGTTAGGATAATATTAATTATTATATTGTAACAGTAGTTCAAAAAAAGAAATCCAACAATTCAAGTTGGAATGGAAAGTTTGTTAATAAAAGAAAGTATTAAAAAATACTTACAACATCATCGTGATTATAATAATCATAAAGAAAATAAAGAAAATTACGATAATAATAATGATAATAATAACCAACTTTCAGCCTTCAAAATAGAAAAAAAATAGTATGAATTATATAATCAACTTTTACAAAAAAAATAATAATATGAATTTATTAATCAATTGATCTTTATTATTATTTTTTTTTAATTATTTTTTAGATAATGTTTTTTCTTCTCCTGTTTCACCATCATCATCACAATATTTTCATTTAATTTATGATGAAAATTTAGGTAATTTTATTGTTTTTTTTAAAAAAATAATAAAAGACAAAATATTTGAATTTAATTTATCGTTATTTCTTTTTTTTTTATTTATTTTATAATTATTATAAAGATGATGACGATACCACCACCACCAATGCTGTTGCTAACACCACCACCATCACCAATGTTGCTGCTGCTGCTGCCCTCAAAGTTACCGCTGCTGCCTTCAAAGTTGCTGCTACCCCCAAAGTTGCTGCTGCTGCCTCTAAAATTGTCGCAAATAAAGTTGCTGCTGCCTCCAAAGTTGTTGTTGCCTCCACCTTCACCATTAAAGTTGCTTCAAAAAAGTAAATTTATATTTATTTTTAATATTACCCTATGAAATAATATTTATAAAATATAATAATCATTTAGGAAAATCAAGAAATCAGATGATCTATTATACATATTTAGAATCAGGTAAATATTTTATAATTTATTTTTAAATTTTATTTTTAAATTGTAAACTCTTATTTAATATTATAATTTATTAATTTATTAATTTATATAGAATAATTATTTTTTATTTTATTTTTTATTTTTTTTATTTTTTTATTTTAATAAAAATTTCATAATTAATTTTTAAAAGTTATATTTATTTAATGATTAAATGTGTATATAATTTAATGTTTATATATTAAAACCCAACCAAAAATAATGTATACAATATACTGATTAAACATAAAAAATCCAACCAAAATTACGTATACAATATACTGATTAGACGTAAAAAATCCAACCAAAAATAACATATACAATATACTGATTAGACGTAAAAAAATATATGCAAAATTACGTATACAATATACTGATTAGACGTATAAAATCCATATAAAATTACGTATACAATATACTGATTAGACGTATAAATTCCGTATTTTTCTGCATACAGAAAAAGTCGATTTTCAGTATCTAATATACGGAAATATTTACAAATTTATTATACTGTTTATCTATGTTTATTATACGTTTTTTAAATGTATTATTTCCATATACTTTACTTATACATATTATTTATAGGAATGGAATTTTTGACATAAACTTGAATGTATTCTAGTAAGTCAAATCTTTGTTTTTTAAATGCAAATGATCCATTATAAATATAACTGTTTTTTGAACTTTTTTAGTATTTAAATTTTTAGGATTATAATTTTTTTGACATTGTTATTATCTTTTATTTGCTTGATTATATAATTTTTCAAGAAGTGTTTGGATCATACTTCAAAAAATTAAATTAATTGAAAAGGAAGTGCTTCATAAAATTTAAATAAAGATTTTGGTTCTTCTAAATATAATTTTTGAAATTCAATTTTATTTTCTATTTTTTAATAAAAGATTTGCTATTTGTTTGCTAAGATTGTAATATTTTTCAGAACTCCAATCCACTTCTTTATTATTTAAATTTATTTGATAAATTTAAAAATAGTTTGAATTGTAAAAAAACTTGGAATATAGTAGAATTTGTTATTTTATATTTTTCTAAAATTTGCAATATCAGAGTAATTAATATAATGCTTTACTTTTTAAATTTATATCATTTGAATTTGCAATTTTCATTATCCAAATTGAAAATAAATGTAAGAAATTTGAAATATCCTAATTGTGTTTTCCTTTAACAATATAATTAATAGACTTTTAACCTATTTCTGAACGTATATGAAGATGATCATCATATTTTTCATAACATTTACAACATATATAGCAAAAATGATTAGATAAATGAGATTGAGTTATTAAATGCTTGAAGAGCAGGACAAGTTTTTTGACCAACACATGCTACTTGAAGATTTTTTTCAACTAAAGACCATGAATATTCAGAGCAAGTTTTTCCTCAGCTAAAAATATAATAATTTCTTTTACAATAAAGATATCGTTTATAATTAATTAAACTTTGAAAGATATCTTTATTTCTTTTAATCCCTTTAAAATGTAACTTATTCTGATCAAATATAAAATGATTCTAACATACACCAAGATTTTGAGTTGCTTTTTTGCTTGTATTACTATATTAATATCTAATTTCCATATCCCAATTAGTTGCCATAATCTGCGTAACTTATTTGTTAAACCACACTTTTTAATATTACCATCAATATGATCAATAATTGCACAAGAAATTATAATACTATTATTATTAATTTGAGATATTTCCTTTTCAGTTTCATACTCAATATTTTCAATTTCTATTGACTCTACTAAAGAAACTGTTTCAGATTCATTCATACTATTTTCATAATCTATATTCTCTTCATTACTGCTACTATTTTTACTGGTATTTAATTATCTTGCTAGTTCTATAGCAATTTTATATGGCATATAAGCAAAATTTTCATCTACTTTTGAAATATTATTAAAAAAATTATTAATATTTATTTTAATAAATTGAATACGAAATCAAAACACTTAAAACTCAAATTACTTTTATATATTAACTTTCTTTTCAATTTAGAACAGATTTTGAAATCAGATAATAACAGAGAATTTTTTTTGTGCACTATTATATATATCGATTTTTCATACTCCTTTTATACCCTTTATATTTAAAACATATACAGTATTCAAAATAAATTTATTTTACAAGTATTGATAATTCTGAATTAATAACTTAAATGAAATAAAAAAAATGCATTTCCAACTTTTATTGTGTTTGTTTTTTTTAAAAAATTAATAATTTTAAACAAAAATTCATATAAAATAATTTTAACTAGTGTTTTTATTAATTATTAGTTTATATAATAGACAATTATTTTGACAAGATCCTTTTAAACTGACTTGGAGTATTTAATTTTTAAAATTCATAAAAATGTTTCTGAAAATTTAATAAACATTTTAAATGAAATGTGAGTTCAAAATATGTAAAAAAGTTACACAGTTGTTATATGAGATAAAGCTAAAAAAACGCAAAAACTTATATGAAATTTATCTGATAAAATGATCATCACTATATATAACTAAATTTGGTATCACATATCACATGACTGATATAGTATTGATACAAATGGGATTAACATTTCTCTTGGTAAAATCTGTGAACCAAGTTCACAAGTTTTCTGAAAATTCAAAATAATCAGAATGTTTTACTGATTTTAAAAATCTTCTAACCATATAAAATGTATACAGCTAATTTACTTGATAAGCTTACTTCTGAACTATTATTATCTATTTTAAAGTATCTTCTAGTATAGGATCTGAAGAATTGTCACAATATAAATGATATATGAAAAAGCGAGACAAATTTTAAATTATTCAAAAGAATGACATTTGTATTTGAGATGATAGTTCAGAACAATTATATGATAAATAAATTTGATTCAAAACTAAAAGAGTCTAATTTAAGCAAAAACTATTCTGAAGAACTTCTTAAAAATCTATTTCTCAAAGGATTATCACCTAAGAATAAGATAAAAGTTCTTATAAATAGTTTATAAGGACTTGCGTTAGATGAATTATTAGAAAGACTTAGTCTCCTTTCTTAAAGCATAACTTCTGTGAAAGAAAAATGGGGGTCGCATAATTTTATTTTTTGTTTAAAGATATAGCATATATTATTTATAGCGTATATGTTATACCTCAAGTATTGATTTGTCTCAGATGCTAATGGGATACTAAATATAGAATTGATAAAGATGATCATTAGTAACGCTACCCAGACATTATAAAAATAGGTCAGTAATTTAGGTCAGTTAACATCTGAAGCAAATCAATACCTGACGCATATAAGCATTTTTAATATAGTAGAAGTATTAAAACAGATTTTATATTTTTTAGCGATAGATAAATCCTTTTATCCTACTCTATTTGTTTACTGATTGTCTATTCTATTGAACTAAAGAAAAATAACCAGAGGTATGGCTATATTGTGAAGAATCATAAAAAATTTATAAAAATAATAGGTAGAAGACAAAAGCCAATTTATAGCTCAAATCTAACTTATCTAGAAATTTTAAACTACCACTCACTTTTGAATAAAAAATTCAAAAGCATTATGCAGTTATTCTCAAATATAATTTATTTGAATTTTAATTATACTACAGGATTTCGTGATAAAATACTAAATCAAATAGCAAAATCGTATCTGAATCTAAAGTATCTTAATTTGCAGAAGAGTGAGTATACAGACTGTAATACTAAAATAATAACGCTTATAGGTTTATTAAAACTCGCACAGTCATATCATAGATTAGAATATTGTAATATTACCTATCACAGATTGATTAGCGATATGGCTATCAAAGAAATTGCTAGATCATGTCTTAATTTAAAATATCTTAATTTAAAAGAAATATTATAGTATTAGTAAAGAAGGTAAAGAAGCTGTAGCTCAACTCATTTCACTTAATCCAAATATCTATATTGAGAATTTCATGAGTGTTGTAATACCTGATTTTAATAATAAACTTCTTAATTATCTTAGTCAATCTTCGACTCACTGGCTTAGTGATATTTTCATTTTAATATCAAGACTTGGTAGTAGAATAAGTAGAATACTAGCCAACTAAGCAGAATGATGGTATTTTACTGATCTTACTAATCTGGAGTGGTGACCATCAGCTCAGAATATTTTTTGCTAAGTCACAAATTGTGTGACAAAAATCTGCAAAAAATCCTGAATTACTTCAAAATAATATAAAAGGAATAATTGGTATTATTGTTAGATTACTGAAGGATCAGATTAGTGTTAATAGTTTTCCAACTAGCAAGAAGACTAGGATCAAAAAATTTATCAAAAAATAATATGTATCATAGGTATAGTCCTAAAGACTAATTGTTCGTTAGTGCAGTAAAAATAGATAGTTCTATGTATTTATTTTTCGCTTGTAATAATAAAGCAATTTTACATTTGCTACATAACATTGAATAATTCTTTCATATATGAAAATATTATCTATTATGACATCTGGGCTTAAAGTATTGATTACTGAGCTTGAAGCTAAGAAAACTGATGAGAAAGCTAGGCTCGTCAAGCTTGAGGTTAGAATTTTAAAACTAGAACAGAATTAGGCAGAAAGAGAAATTAAGAAAAATCGCAAATTCCAGACTAAATGTATCCAAATAATTAAGGAAATTCTTAGTGAGAAACCTATAATTGAATATTGTCCTTCTTTCTTAAATGGATTAGAACTTGATGCCTTTTCTAAAAATATCGAATTATATTAGAGATGCAAGAGCCCAGCATCGGCTTTATAATACTAGCTGGTATAAGGATGTTAAAAAACTTGAAGATATTATTAATCGTAATTAGCAAAAATGATACATATGTCAAAATAATAGAATTTCTCTTCTTGAAGTATGGTATGACAAAAAATCTGAAATTATTCAAAAAGGATACGAAAAATTAAGGAGTTTGTTTGTTTAGCATCAAAAAGTTTCAATCTCCTATAATTAATAACGTTATAATATTGTTATCTTATGATACTAATGACTGAAAATTAGTATTAACGCAAGATTAACAAAGGATTTAGCTTTAAGACTT